CTGAATTTCTGAATTTCTGAATTTCTGAATTTCTGAATTTCTGAATTTCTGAATTTCTGAATTTCTGAATTTCTGAATTTCTGAATTTCTGAATTTCAAAGTTTTCGAATTTCTGAATTTCGGATTTTTTTGGAATTTCAGAAATTCGGAGTTGTCGAGTTTCAGATTTTCAGGTTTTCAGAGTTTTAGAATTTCTGAATTTCTGAATTTCTGAATTTCTGAATTTCTGAATTTCTGAATTTCTGAATTTCTGAATTTTTGAATTTCTGAATTTCTGAATTTCTGAATTTCTGAATTTCTGAATTTCTGAATTTCTGAATTTCTGAATTTCTGAATTTCTGAATTTCTGAATTTCTGAATTTCTGAATTTCTGAATTTCTGAATTTCTGAATTTCTGAATTTCTGAATTTCTGAATTTCTGAATTTCTGAATTTCTGAATTTCTGAATTTCCGAATTTCTGAATTTCTGAATTTTTTAGAATTTCAGATATTGAGATTCTTAGAGTCTGAATTTCTGAATTTCTGAATTTCTGAATTTCTGAATTTCTGAGTTTCTGAATTTCTGAATTTCTGAATTTCTGAATTTCTGAATTTCTGAATTTCTGAATTTCTGAATTTCTGAATTTCTGAATTTCTGAATTTCTGAATTTCTGAATTTCTGCATTTATCCTGGAAAGCTGAATTTGAGCCCATGTCGCAGGTTACTGTACCTCGCACTACAACTACAACTCGTAATTGAATGATAGGTAAATCAAAATTTTGGCTGTTTGGCTGTTGTTCGCATATTGATTCCCAAAAGAAGAGTCGAGTCGAAGTTTCTGGAAGTTTTCTATCAGTTTCTTACACGCCTGAAATTTCTTTTAAAACCCACCAAAAATCATCAGTTCTACGACAATTTTGAGCCGAGTTATAGCGATTTGAAGTTTTAAAGAGACGCAGAGAAACGAGAGTGTCTGACTGTCTGCGTCTCTTCATGTGAAACCTTGAATGGCCATAACTCGACTCGAAAACATCGTAAAAACATGGTACTTGAACTAAAAATACTAAAATTTTCAGTGGAGAATGAATATGAAGGAACGAAAAGGCGCCGCTGCTCACGGCGTGTACTACTGAAACTTCGAGCTCAATTATCTCGGCTTCTATAAGAGATATCGAAAAATTGTCAACTGATAAAATGTTTGTCTTAATATCACCTATATTTTAATAGTGTACCACTTTTTTATATCTTTCACAATAACTGAGATAATTGAGAATCAAAGTAAGTCTAAGAAAATCCCAAAAAAATTTTTGAGAAAAGTTTTTTTTGCACCCTATTCCTTAAAAAACAATAAAACTAACTTCACAGAACAATCCCCACTAGCACTTGGATACAAAAATCCGTTCTTATTTCCACAACTTCTTATTTTTTCCACAACTTCCAAACCACCAGCCGCTGAAAAATTTTATTTTCAAACATTTTCAATAACTTTTTGAAAAAATCACCCATATCCTGATGGTCCAACATTATTATCATCGTAGTACTCGAATTGGTCACATTCTGGTCTGTAAATTTGCTCTGCTGATAATCATTTTTTGAAATTTTCACTGTTTCAGAATTTTACATTTTTTAAAATTTCAAAATTTGGACTATTTCTTTTATTCTTTTTTGTTTCCCAAAAAAAACCTACTTAGATTTTTGCAGATTGTATGTCAGTTGAGTGGCAAATGGAGCGCCAATGTCTTTGGCTGAAAATAATTTCAGTCAAAAATTTTTTATGAAAAGAAATTTTCTTTGAGAAGAATAATCCAAACCAATGCCCGGTAGATCGGCAGTTGCTGTCAATCTGTATTGATTGGTTTTTGTGCCCACCTGAAAAAAAAATGCGCCAAGGCACGGAAAAAAGCACCAGAAATGCGCAAAGCACAAAAAAAGCGCCAAACCCCTGGAAGCGCGCCAACTCACTGAGAAGGCGCAAAGGCGCCAGAAATGCGCAAACACGGAAAATGCGCTAAGTCACTGGAAATGCGTCAACACTGAAAACGCGAAAAGACCACAGAAACGCGTAAAAACACTAAAAATGCGCCCAGTCACTCAAACTGCGCCAAGTCCCGGAAACACGCTAACTGACTGAAACTACGTCAAGTCGCTAACAAGCGCTAGGGCACCCAAGATCCGTCAAGTCACCGGAAACGAGCCAAAACACTGAAAACGCGTCAAGTCACTAAAACTGCACCAAGTCCCGGAAACGCGTTAACTCACTGAAAATGCGGCAGGTGACTGAAAACGCGCTAGTTCACCAAAAACGGGTCAGTTGGCTGAAAATGCGCCAACACACGGAAAACACTATAACTGACTTAAAAGCGCAAACTCACCGAAGATGCGTCAACTAACGAAAAAAACGCCAAGGCTCTGAGAACGCGCCAAGGCACCAAAAATGCGTCAAGTCACTGAAAACGCGTCAAGTCATTCAAAACGCGCAGAGACACCAAAAATGAGTCATCAACTTCAAACGCGCTCAATCACCCAAAATCCGTCAAATGACTGAAATCACGCCAACGCGCAAGCACCAAAAAGACGCAAACTAACTAGAAATACGCAAGCAACAAAAAATCAGCATGGCTCTAAAAATGCGGCAACTCACTGAAAACGTACCAGCGATGTGGAAACTGGCTGAGAAGAGTCTATGCCTAGGGTGACCCTGACTGGCTACAGTAATCAATAAAAACGCGCGAAGTCACTGAGAAAGCACCAGCAACCCACCGTAAATCCATGAAAAATCTGTTTGGCTCTCAACTGTCTTCCACAACACAAATCAATTTGAAGATTGTACGATTTCCCATTATTGCTCATCGCATTCATTGAATCCAATCCCATCCAGAAATTCTTTCCGATTCCCGATTCTCCAAACCAATCAGTGTAGTTGGCATACGGTAGGTCAAATGAGATGTTTTTCAATGTTCCGCGACTGGAAAAATTTTTTTTAAAAACTCAGAAAAATGTGTTACCGGAAATCCAAAAAAAAACGACTGTTCCAAAATTTGTACTCTAAAAGTGTAAAATGAATCTCCATGATTCCATTCGAATAACCTTTCATGTTCTCATATCTGGATTACTGTATACGCTTTTTCCGTAGTCTGGTCACAGTACACACTGATTGGATTGATACCATCTGGATATATAATTTGAATTCCAGATGTTTTGTCCTCCACTTCATCACAATCCGCTGGTAGTTTGGGTGCTGGAAGGAGACTCTAATAGAGTGGCAATCAGAACCCCCCATATATCTCGGTTCTTGTGAAAGATATCAAAAAGTGGTCAATTGATAAAACGTTGGTGATATCATGACAAACATTTTATCAGTATACAGATTTTTGTTATCTCTTATAGAAATTGAGATAATTGAGCTCAATGTTAACGGTTTGTTTAGCCTACGGTAATCAAAAATTTGAGCAATTTTCAAATTTTTCTTCACACAAAAAACGAACCAGTGGTTGTTGGGCTTTGTGTTGGCGTAGATCCAGTACCAGCCGGCGTCGTGGTCTTCGGATTCGGTGCTGGAATGTTTTTTTTGTTTGTGGACCAGGTGATGGATATTCTGAAAAAAAATGTTTTGGGAATTTTTAAAATTTACTATAATAGGTATTAGAATTAACTTGATAAACAAACCATGAGTACTGAAAGATCAAATTTGCAAATAATATAATTTTTTTGAAACAGTAGAAATTCTAGAAATACGAAAAAATTGGAAAAAAAATTTCAGCCAAAAATGGTCAACTTTGAAGACCCACAAAATTATTCCAGAATTTTTCAATTCATCAACAAATTTGAGAGTATACCAAACAAAAATGGAACTTCAATTTCTGGAAGCTTTTTTGGATAAAAATAGAAATTTTCCGGGAATTTTGAAAAATTCAAAAAAAGTTAATTTTCAAAAGATATTCTTAGTTTTAAAAAGCCCATAAAATTTCCAACAAAAATTTATAGTTTTCATTGTTCTAGCTGAAAATTGAAGCGAGTTATGCGTCATTGAAGTTAGTCGAGAGACGCAGAAAAGCTAGAGGACTCTCGCGTCTCTGTGCCTCCTCATGCCCACAAGGGATGGCTTAAAAGGTCATATCTCAAAAACTGGACTAGCTATTAAAAAGTTTTCAACTGCAAAAGTGCTCAGCATATAATTTTACACATTTTCCAATTTTTAGAATTCGGATAACTATGTTAGTTTTTGAGATATACGTTTTAACGCTAAAGCGCTTAAAAGCCGCTTATCTCGTTCAGTTAAATTGTTTCCAAAAACTTGTCAATTATAATAATGAAGCTCTATTTTTGTTCAGTATAACCTGAGATTTTCAGACAAATTGAAAAAGTTTGAACCACTTTTGTAGAACCTCAAAGTTGACAGTTTTTAACTGAAAAACGCAGAGTTCTACTGTGGCAAACCTCTTGTTTTTAGCTTTTAAAATTTCTTGAAACAGTTATTCTTCTCTTCTTACGTTGTAGAAATGGTTCCGGGTCTCAAACTGGTGTATGCATAGATTCTCTGACCATCCGTAGAATCCACATGGAAATTGTATTGATCGATGATCGATCCATCGGATGTTGTTAGTTTCAGACTCACATTGAAACCCTGAAAAAAAGGAGCGTAGCCTAGTCTACAGTATCCAATTATTTGTTTATCAGTTAATCTGCTTGACATTTTGAATTCAAAATGGAGAATTTCTTTTTGAGGAAAAATTTGATGTTTCGTAATTTGGAAATAAATATAAATTTGGTTGTACGCATCGCTTTTGATAAGAAAAAAAGTTGACCATGTCATCATTCCATTCCTCGGCACTTTTTTTTCTTAGTCTTTCAGCAAACTATTTATGTCAATATTTCATTTTGTTTCTTCATTTTTTCCTATTCTTGAAGATTTCAGCTGAGAATGGATTTCGTAACAATTGCGAAAATCGCAAAGGACATCGCCGTAGCAATTCATAAAGCTGATAAGGAAATGAAGGAAAGGTTTAAAAAAATGCTGAAGCACAGAACTTTGGAGGATATTTCAGTTCTACATACCATGCTAGGTAAAATTTATGATACATTTTCTTGTTCATTGCTGTATAAGAATTGTCCCAGAGTTCATTATAAAAAGAAATCGTTTTTTTTATGATAATGATAACTACTTCAACTTTCAGAAAGAGTCGCTGAATCTACCAATCAAAAACTGAAAATAGATTTCGAAAAACATCGAATCCCGGAAAGAATCAAAAAGGTTGGATACTTGGTAAATGGTTCTCATGGCCATTATTTTGCTGGAACAAATGGAGATGGGAAAGACTATACTATTTTCACATGCCTCAGGTTGGTTCTCATCAGTAAAAACATAAAGCTGAATTCCGCTGATGCTCTAATAAAATCTTTTACTTTGAGCTTAATTATTTCAGTCCCTGTGAGAGATATCAAAATTTCGTCAACTAATAAAATGTTCATCATATTATTACCTACATTTTATCAGTTGAAAGATTTTTGATATCTCTTATAAGAACTAAAATAATCAAGCTTGAAGTTCTTAACTTTTCCAGGAACGAAGGCTACTGGATGGACAAGCAACGTGCAGCTTGTGTCGGTGGAGCCGTGGCCGGACTTTTACTTCTTGGAGCTCCCACAGTTTACATGGGATTTATTATTGCAGACATGCAGAAACATTTGAGGGAAATGGAGAAAGATTTGGCTTTCATTGCTGAGGAAATTGAGAGCATTTTTGATCAGACTAACTCGTTGATGTTGGCTAATGTTGTATAAAGAATTTATCTTATCACCAATCTGATTAATGATGGTGTTCGAGTTTTTCAGCTTTGATAACATATAACAACTAACGGAAAAAAATAAATTAAGTTTCAATAAAGATAGTGAATAGAAAATACAATAAAGAAAAACAAAGTTTTTCGAAACTAAAAATTTACTTGAACTTCAGGCTCAATTTGTCAACTGATAAAATGCTTATCACAATATCACTAACATTTTTTAGTTGACAAGTTTTTGATACCTCTTGCAGAAATTGTGTTAATTGAGCTCAATGTGCAAGTATAGGGTACCCTTCTATTAGAACAGATTGATGGTATATTAGGTGTGGGTATTAATTAAATATTTTTTAATGAAAGAATTGCTGTTTCAGAAAATTTTTAAAACAATATTACTGGCTTTTCAATTAATAGGTCGATCAACTAGTCCCATCCCGTTTATCAATTTCTTTTTTTTTTAATTTGTCCGATTTTAATTAATGCAACTCTGTACCTACACTTTGACCTTAATTATCTCGGCTCCTAAAAAGAATATCCAAAATTTGTCAACTGATAAAATGTTTATCATAAACTCATAAGTAACTAGTTGACCAAATTTAAATATCTTTTACCGGAGCCGAGATAATTAAAGGTGGGGGGACATGAAAAAATAATGTTCTCGAAATTCCGTTCAAAGATGCCTCTCGAGGAGTTGAACTTGTGGGGGCGATGATTGAGGGTGCGGCGCCGCTACCGACTGAGCCACGCGGGCAAAGAGAAAGCGCACGCCCCATTGCATACATAAAGGCGAGGACGACAGCTGTACGCAGAGTGACATTAACCGTTGTACACCGTCACGGTAGAATGCATACTCTAGCTACAAAAAAACTACGAAAAATCTCCTGTCCCCCCACCTTTAAGCTCAAAGCGAAAGATTAAAAAAAAATAAAAATAAAAATTTTCTGTTTCAACAAATTTTCTTTTAACATTTATCAAAAAACTTGAGATGTACATCGCGGATATTTTGTTCCAGTTTTTAGGAGACAAACAAAAATTGCGACAAATTCGAAAATATTTTTTTTCTAGAAGGATGTGGGACATGAAAGTCATTTCTTTGAAGTTTAACTGAAAACGCCTGAAATTTCCTACTGAATACACCAAAAATCATCTTTCTATGACAATTTTTAGCCGAGCTATAGGGATTTGAAGTTTTTGAGAGACGCAGAGAAACGAGGGCGTCTCACTGGCTGCGTCTCCAACAAGTTCAACTTTTTGAGATGTTTTTACATTGTTCCTGCTTCTTTAAATTGAAGAATTAAAAAATCAAAATTCTTATCAATTTCTTCCATACATTAATAATGAAACAGTTTGGCAAAAAATTTTATTGTTTGCTTAAAATGAATGGACTATAAGAAAGAAAAGAAAGAAGATAAGAAAGAACAATCGTTTTTAGTACTTTTTTAATTTCGAAATTTTCCACTATTTTTTCTTAGTTTCTAGCTTCCAGATTATAATTTTAAGCCCAAAATTTCAGAGAACTATGGCAGATGTGGTGAAAATTTTCAACAATGTGGCGACTGGTGTGAAAAGTGTGAACACAATAGTCACAACTTTTGATAAAATCGATAAATCGGTCAAAGAGAATAATAAGAAGATTCTGAAGCCAAGAGTGATTATGGATATCTCCATTTTGCAGACTATTCTGGGTAAGTTTTCCAGTTTTTGCAGGAATTAAGACCCAAAAATTCAGAAATTCAGAAATTCAGAAATTCAGAAATTCAGAAATTCAGAAATTCAGAAATTCAGAAATTCAGAAATTCAGAAATTCAGAAATTCAGAAATTCAGAAATTCAGAAATTCAGAAATTCAGAAATTCAGAAATTCAGAAATTCAGAAATTCAGAAATTCAGAAATTCAGAAATTCAGAAATTCAGAAATTCAGAAATTCAGAAATTCAGAAATTCAGAAATTCAGAAATTCAGAAATTCAGAAATTCAGAAATTCAGAAATTCAGAAATTCAGAAATTCAGAAATTCAAAAAAACCTAAATCAAAATATTCCAGAAAAAGTGGCGAAATCAAAAAACCCCGAACTCATTCAAGACTTTGAAAAGCATCAAATCACAGAGAGGCTGGAGAATATTGCAGTTCTTATCATACAGTACCACACAAGAGATGGTGGGAATTTAAATAAAAAAGAAAAACAGAGATTGGCATTTGTTGTTGAGGAAGTGGAGTGTATTTATGATCATGCGAAGGCTCTTATGATGGCAAATGCACTGTCTAGTGGCTCTACTGTCATGAGAATTTGATCTAATTACTTTAAGCTTGACTATCTGGGTTACTGTAAGAGATATCAAAAAGTTTTCAACTGAGGAAATATTTCTGATAATATGATAAATGCTTTGTTAGTTGACAACTTTTTGATATCTTTTATAGCGGAGATAATTGAGCTTAAAGATTTTGTGGTTATCAAAAATTACACTGATGAATAAAAAGTTACAGTTTCAGAATAACAATTTTTTAAAACTTTTTGATTCATAAAATTAATTGTTACTTTTTTCCATAAATGCAAATTAAGTCCCTAATCATTTTGAATTTGTTTATCTCGGCTACTGTAAGAGATATCAAAATTTTGACAACTGATAAAATGTTTGTCAAAAAGTCAAAAATATTTTGTTGTATGACAGTTTTTTGATATCTTTCACAGCAATTGAGATAATTAAGATCTTGATTTTTTCAATCTTTCTGATGAATAAAAAGTCACTGTTTCAAAATAACTATTTTCGATAACTTTTTGATTCATAAAAACTGGTAGTTTTTCCACATATAAATTAAATCTAATCCTTCTGGAGTCTCTGATCTAATTAGTTCGATATCAATTATCTCGGTTACTGTAAGAGGTATAAAAAAGTTGTCAACTAATAAAATATTTCTGATAACATGATAAACATTTTATTAGTTAATCACTTTTTGATATCTTTCACAGTAACCGAGATAATTGAGCTTAAGGTCTGGTACTTTTTCAAAAACATTATTCTGATGAATAAAAAGTCATTGTTTCAAAGTAACCATTTTTGATAACTTTTTGATAGCAAATAATTCGGAGAGTACAAAAATTTAGGGGTCGTTGGGGTACAAAGCAATTTTGGGTTACAAAATCTTCAATTCGGGGGTACAAAATACCTGAAAAAGGCTTAGTTTTGTACCCCCGAATTGTGAATTTTGTACCCCTAAATCACTTTGTACCAAATTGTACCCCCGAATTATTGTACCCTCCAAATTATGTGCCCTTTTTGATTCAAAAAAATTGGTAGTTTTTCCACAAATATATTTTCCACAAATATAAACAAATATAATAAATCTAATCCTTCTGGAGTCTCTGATCAAATTAGTTTGAGCTCAATTATCTCGGTAACTGTCAGAGATATCATATTATGATAAATCTTTTATCAGTTGACAAACAATTGCTAAATCAAAGGTTCTGAAATGTTCGGTTGCAAAATGCCAGCTCAAAAAATACACTGTCAAGTGGCTGTCATGAGAATTTGATCCAATTTTTTTGAGATTAATTATCTGGGTTACTGTAAGAGTTATCAAAAAGTTGTCAACTGATAGAATATTTATGACAATTTGATTAATACTTTGTTAGTTAACAACTTTTTGATACCTTTTATAGCAGATGAAAAATGATTCTGATGAATAAAAAGTTACTGTTTCAGAATAACAATTTTTTAAAACTTTTTGATTCATAAAATTAATTGTTACTTTTTTCCATAAATGCAAATTAAGTCCCTAATCATTTTGAATTTATTTATCTCGATTACTGTAAGAGATATCAAAATTTTGTCAACTAATAAAATGTTTGTCAGAAAGTTAAAAATATTGGGTTAGTTGACAATTTTTTGATATCTTTTACAGAAATTGGGATAATTAAGCTTAAAGATGTTGCATTTTTTGAAAATGGTTTGGATGAATAAAAAGTTACTATTTCAAAATAACATAATTCTTTATTCATAGAAATTGGTATCTGCTTAATACTGGAGTTTCGATCTAATTGCGTTGAGCTCAATTATCTGAGTTCCTGTGAGAGATAACAAAAAGTTGTCAACTGTTGAAATGTTTCTGATGATCTGATAAACATTTTATCAGTTGACAACTTTTTGTTATCTTTTACAGGAGCTCAGATAATCAAATTCAAATTGAGCTATGAATTCTGATGAATAAAGTTTTTTTTTTTGAAAAAAATTACTACTGTTTCAAAAAATTTTAATTAATTCGTTATTTGATATATATTCACAATACTGTTAAATTACTGTTAATAGTTGAATGAGTACAAGTTTGCGAAAACACTAAAAGTTCCTATTTTAGGTATGAAACACACATTTTTTGCTGTTTCAAAAAAATAATTTCTATTTCTTTGTTAATCAAAAATTGATAATTTTTTCTCATCTCTAAAAAAACCAAAACTCAAAAAAATGGACTTTTTTTTCAAATTAATTTTTTTGGTTATTCTAGGGAAATTTCAGTATTTTTGAGTTCAGAATATATATTTTATCATTTTGGTTTTAGATTCAAAACATTTTGGATACCTAATTTTGAATTCTTAATTGAAAGGAAAAAACTCTTTCTTTAAACATTCTAACAAGTGAATCTTGACAAATTAAAAATCATTCCAAAGTACTTTAGTTGAAACAGTAGTTATTAAGAAAGGAGTTTGATGGAAAATAACATTGTCAATCGAATTATGTAGTTTTCAGATATCTTCTAAATACTAGTTATTATGATTTCACCAGCAAACACCCAAAATTTCCTACAAAATCCACAAAAAAACCATTGTTCTACGACAATTTTAAGCCGAGTTATGACGATTTGAAGTTTTTGAGAGACGCAGAGAAACGAGAGTGCCTGACTGTCTGCGTCTCTCTACGAAAATCTTGAAATGCCCATAACTCGGCTTAAAACCATCGAAGAAACTTGATTCTTGAATGTAATATTCTTAAAAAGATGAAAAATCCTCGAATTTTTTTTCGAATAAAAAAACTCTGTTTCAAAAATTACATTTTTGATGCTAAATTTGGACTGTGCTACTTTATGGCCGTTTATGACTTTCAAAAACTTCCAAAAAAATTTCAAATTTTTTGTCCCATAAACTTTGATAATTATCATTTTTAAAAATGAAAATATTAAAGGTGTGGGGACAGGGGATTTTACGGGGGATTTTCGGGGCCAGAGTATGCATTTCAATGTTTCTGCAAAAAATATCTAAAAGTACAGTAATTTTGAAACGGAAATTTAAAAAATAAAATGATATGCTGAAACTCGTGAACGAAAAAAGAGAAATCTCCGTATAATTATTGAGAAACTTGTTAAAACTCGAGAAAAATGTTTTAAAAATTGCAACTTTTTCTAGAATTTAGGTTATTTAGCCACTACAAGAAATCAAAGTTTAGATCTTTGAAAAATTTTCAAAATGATTCTGAAACAGTGCAAAAAATTGTCACTTTCATCCTAAGAAGATTGGCAAAAGCTTAAGATTATAGGAATTTTGATAATGATAACAAGGAAAAAAATGATATAAATTTTCATCGCAGTTTCTATGATGGGATGACTAAATTTTCAAAATCGATAAACTTCAAAATATTGAATAGAAACAGATAAAAAATTGAGGGAATGTTAACATTAAACCTTTAAATGTTGGTCTATATGTGTGTATGTGTTTCCTGTATTGAAACTGCAAAGATTTTGTTTGAAAATTTCTCAAAAAATAATGATACAGAAAAATTTACAAACTTTTGGAAAAAATTCAAATTTTTATTTATTCTGAAAATTTTTTTAATTTGAATATTTGTAAAGTAATATCGGGAGGATCGTATTTTGCGATTTCCGAATTTCTGGAATTTTCAAAGTTAGTTTGAAACATATAAATTCGTATCACCGCCACAGGTTGATAAAGTAATCAAATGGTGAGTTTCGTAAAATTTGGGTTTTCGATGAAACAGAAAATAAATTTATATTTAACTTTTTTGAAAAGATAGATAGGATTGCTGTTTTTTTCAGAATTTTTTCAAATCTGGAAATCACTTATACAATTATCATTAATCAGTTTTTTGCAGAGTTTATAAATATGTTTCAGTAAACGTCTACCGTAATCCAGTTATTGTAATACAGTGAAATTTGATTTTTAAATGAAACAGAAAAATAGTTTCCTAGTGAAAATTTATTTTAAAATATAATTTACCGAGGCTCAATAAATAACTTGAAAACTCTGCAAAATTTATATTTTTGATGAAACAGATATTTTTTCTGTTTTTCAGAATTTTACTGGGAATTTTAAATTTTTTGGACGAATTTCTTCAACTTTTTAAGCTTCTGGAAACTCTGAAATTCTCAAAGTATTTTGAATTTTAATTATCTTTTTTGAAACTTTTTAAAAAATTATGATAATTTGAGAAATTTTTATTGAATCTAAATTATTGAAAAAATACAATTTCAGCAATGGGAATTTTTTTTGTTGAAAAACTTGAATGATAAAAAATTAAATCTGTATCTCAGAAAAAATTGTTTTTTTTCTAGAAAAATGAACATTGAAACAGTAATTTTTGGGAAAATTTTTGATTTTAATTTAAAAAAAAATCCTAAATGACCAATAAAAGTACTAGAAATTGAAGAACTAACTAGAAATTTTCTTAACAAATTTTGAATTTCAAATGAAACAGCATTTTTTTTCAGCAAATTCTTTTACATTTTCTAACTTTTTTGGACCGAAATAACTTGTTTTTCTTGGGAATTTTATTAACCGTTTTGGCTTCAAAAATTTGAATTTTTTCAATTTCATAGGGTTCTGGAAAATCTGAAATTCTTATAGTATTTTTCGGAGATTTCACCGATTTTTCAAAGTTTGATTTTGAAATTTTAGGAATTGTTTTCAAACATGGAATTTTCGGATATGGACAGGATTCGGAAAGTAGGGGGTAGTGTTCAGGAGGGTACTGTAGTTGTAGGAAATGATTTGGCGCAAAATTTGAAACTTGAAACTGGTATAAAGGAATCATTGGATATGGATGGATTACTGTAGGAGGCGGGAGTTTCCAGAAAAATTGAAAACCTCTGTCCGGGTCGAACTTTTGGAGTTCAATGTAGGATTTTTGGGGCGTTGCGGGATCTGAAAAAATTTAGAAATTAAAAGAATATATATCCTGAATTTCTGAATTTCTGAATTTCTGAATTTCTGAATTTCTGAATTTCTGAATTTCTGAATTTCTGAATTTCTGAATTTCTGAATTTCTGAATTTCTGAATTTCTGAATTTCTGAATTTCTGAATTTCTGAATTTCTGAATTTCTGAATTTCTGAATTTCTGAATTTCTGAATTTCTGAATTTCTGAATTTCTGAATTTCTGAATTTCTGAATTTCTGAATTTCTGAATTTCTGAATTTCTGAATTTCTGAATTTCTGAATTTCTGAATTTCTGAATTTCTGAATTTCTGAATTTCTGAATTTCTGAATTTCTGAATTTCTGAATTTCTGAATTTCTGAATTTCTGAATTTCTGATTTAAAAATCCCACCTGATTTCCCATTTATCATCCCATTTGCCTCTGTTTGATCCTCAATTTTTTCCTTCACAATATTGAAATTCTTCTGGTTTGTGAATAAAAAATCATCAAAGATTTGGGTATCCAGAATTCTCATTTTCAGATTTTCCAGACAGCTGAAATTTCAAATTTTTAAAAAATTAAAAAAGTACCAAATTTCCATTATTCTGAATGAAATTCAGCCTTTTTTAGAATTATTACAGAATAAAAAAAAGTAAAGTAAAACTCAAAAATAAGAAAAATGGAAGTCTCTGAGAGGTCTCTCTAGTTGCTATAGAAACTTGAAAAACGAGAGAGTATAGGAAGGATGAGAGACGCAGAGAAATTTGAGTAGGATAAGAAGAAAAAGAAGAGGGGGGAGATTTATGGGTTGTATAGTTGAAAATATACTAATGGGAAATGAGGGAAATGAGGGAAAAAAGAAATTCAGAAATTCAGAAATTTAGTTATTAGAATTGTATTACTATCTGAGCAATTGATATATTTTCGGTTCATTTGTTGAGTATAACTTGAAACAGAAAAAAAAGTTTCCAGTTTACTCTTTTTTTCTCCGATTTCACTTAATTTATCTGGTAGGAATCCAAAGTGGCCAACTACTAAAATATTACTGATAACACAGTGCGTCCAATAAGTTTAGGACCCCCCCCCCCTATATTTCGGCCGTCTGGGCGGCTCCGCGACGTTTCGCAAGTACGACGTTTCGAAAGTAACAGCTTTGCGCTTTTTTGCATGGAACAAAAAGCAAAAACTTGTATTTGAGTGTTTAAATGGCTTTTCGAACACAATTTTGTATATTTGAAGCTGTTTCACACATTTTTCGATACCGTCCAATAAGTTTAGGACCCCCTGAAATTTTCGAAATTTTGAAATTTTTTGTCAAATTTTCGCTTCTAAACTGAAAATAAATTTTAAATTTGAGCTTTCTTCGTATGTTTTCATAAGTAATTGAAAGAATTTTCATAATTTGTCGACTTTTCAAATCATCGAATTTCCTCATTTCTCCTCATATTTTGGGTATTTTTGTGAAAATGTCCCAAGATGCCGACAAATTTAAACATTTTGAAGGAAACAAGAATGAAACATACAGAGAATGAGATTAAGAAGTTAATTTAAGTACTGGGAGCGCGGTCCGGGCCTTGATTGGGTACATATGCTATGATAATCTTGCCATCCTCAAGATTCATCAACTGTGTGAAAATGGTGGTTTGGTGAATCGAGAGAAACTGCTTTAACGGTCTAGAACTAATTCGAATTGCTTTCAATCAATGTACAAATGATCATATAAGCCTTTTTCCATATTGTCACAACTTATTAAGTCCAGGATCCCCATGTAGGAAAATATCCGTTTACCAGTGGTGGAAAATCTTGAGGATGACAGGATTATCATAACGCCTGTACCCAATCAAGGCCCGGACTGCGCTCCCAATACTTAAGTTAACTTCTCAGCCTAATTCTCTGTATGCTCCATTATTTTTTCCTTCAAAATTTTTGAATTTTTCGGCATTTTGGGTCATTTTCACAAAAATACCCAAAAAATGAGGAGATTCGATGATTTGAAAAGTCGACAAATTATGAAAATTCTTTCAATTACTTATGAAAAAATACGAAAAAAGCTCAAATTTAAAAGTTATTTTCAGTTTAGAAGCGAAAATTTGACAAGAACATTTCAAAATTTCGAAAATTTCAGGGGGTCCCTAACTTATCGGACGGTATCGAAAAATTGTCTTTTTGGTGGTACGCAGGGACCAAGAATGGTGGGACACCCAAAATTTGTTCCCTGGGATAATTTTAGATTTGAAATCGAACTGCATTCACAGATTTTTGTTAACTATTCTAGTTTTGGCCAGACGGCCAAAATCTAGGGGGGGGGGCCCTAAACTTATTGGACGCACTGTATGTTAAACATTTTGTTAGTTGAGAAATTTTTGATATCTCTCACAGGAACCAAGATAAATCGAGTCAAATTAAGTGGTCCTTCTATTAGAGGCTTCAAGTAATGTTTCAGATTACTCTTTAAAATCAGCAAGATCAAGAACCTGTCGACAAGATTTTATTATTCAATCAGCCCTTCTCCTAAAATCCCAATTATTCAATTTAGCCCTGGATTACAAACCCAACAAAGAAATGTCTAAATTTACTGTACAAATCACTTTTGGAATCTCGAAAAGGACCATACGTCAAAGGAGCAGATTTGAGTTTTTTGGCTGGCTGGAGTGGAAAGAAAATGTAAGTGTCTGTGTGTCCAGATGTCTCAGTCAAGTTTATCGCTATAAACTCATTAGTATTATTTTGTATCTAGCTCCATTTACATATTTTTTCTGAAACAGAATAAACTTTTGAAATTCAAAACTTTGATTTGCGGTTTCAGCGGAGCAATTTGAATTTTTGAAAATCTGGGTAAAATTAATTTGACAGGTGGCTTCAAACGTCTGTGGGTCCCAATGTCAAAAACTTTTTTCATGTACAGCATCGAAAAAATTTTTGTAAATCTGGAAATTCAAGTGGGGCGTCTATAGTTTTAGGTTTTCTGAAAGAAACCTCTCGTTTTCGAAAAAAAAAATGGTGGTCGGTGTGTCGGTATGTCTAGATGTCGGCAGTAGTATCCGAAGTAAAACGAAGCATTTTTAGTTTGTGGATTTTTTCTAACAAATTTTTTTGAAACTGTGATTTTTTTTTAATTCTACTGTTTAAAATGTGAACTTTCAACTTTGAATGGTTGAAAGTCAATCAATAAAGCTGAAGCCTTAATAACACAAAAAATGGTGAAAAGCATACTTGTAACGGGCCGGGCTTTTTCCCGAATTTCGGAGGCCCGGCGGGCCTATCATTCCACAAGTTTTGAAAATTTCAAAAAACGAAAAAAATCACATAAGGGGGGACCCTTATGTGATTTTTTTCGATCAAAAAATTTTTTTCGAGTTGTTTAAAATGTTTTTTGATCAAACAGAAAAACAATCCAAAAAGCACAAAAAAAAATTGTATTGAGAGCTCAAAATTCGGTTCAAAATGATAAAATTTTTGCTACCGGGCCTTCCGGGAAATTTTTTTTGAAATTTTTTTCCTCAGGCCCGGCCCGGGCCGGCCCGGAATTTTACAAGCATGGTGAAAAATAGACAAAACACCATTAGAAATCATCAAAAATCTGGAAATGTTTTGATTTAAAGGAGGCCAGACACCAAAAAAAAAGTTTTCCTGATATTTTGCATAGAGAACCCCCTTGAGGGGTTGTATTCATGACAGGCAGCTCAGGGGTACAGCGCTGCTACCGGCTGAGCTACGAGGGCGCGAAGGCGCCTGACGACCGATGGTCTACATAAGCGCAATTTCGTCCCCCGAACTGTCCCCCGAAATTTTTGCTGTCTCGCCTCCTTTAAGTAACTATTAGGTTGTCTGGAAAGTTCCTGTCATTTTTAGCGTCAAATACATTCAAAGTGAAGAAGGTCAAAACGATGTCGGATAAATTGGAGGTAATGACCATTGTTATCAATGACTATCTGCCAACGCTCCACAAAATTGTGGATGCCTTCCTTCCAGAACTCCGGTCACAGCGAATCGTAAATCAAGTCAACCCATTTTAGATATCATGTTTTGAAGTGATTTTTTTCAATCAAGATGACTTTAGAAATGGCTGGATAGGCCGTTGTCAGAAAGTCCAAGGTTCGGCCTATTTGATGAATTAGACAGAATCGTCTAGCCAAATCCAGCGAGACCAGCCCGAGTCTTTCTTCCCGCATGAGGTTGCTGATTTCAATTTTGAAAATACACCTTTGTGTTTCTCTCCATGGGAGACCCACTTAGAGTCAGAGTTATGTCGCCTGACAAGAATAGGTATCGGTCGTAAAAGTGACACCTTCATCCAAAACCTCTCAATACTCCACTCCTTGGTAGACCACCATACCGACCGCATCCCATTTTAAAATGAATTTCACGTTTCGGGACGTCTGGTGGTTGGGCTTCTTTGTCAACCTACTTGGATTGTTGTTTATAGTAATCATACATTACTAATTTATCACCACTAGTAATGATTTGATTCTAGCATCCATGTGTGCAACGCAGGATGGGAAGATTCAAACAGGTACCCACACGTTTAAAAAGTTGCATTGAGCCAAAATGTGTGGTCCATATCTACCGATTTTTTTCGTCTTTGCCGAGAGTTTCCAATTCATGGCTTTTTGACGAAATGCTTGCCACTGATGTACTTGATATATCCCGCCAAATTAGCCCCACCAATATACTGATAAAACGATAGCTCCCTCGCTTGTATCTTGGTCAAGAAAACAACGTTTGAAAACATGTGATCAGAAATGACAGGAACTTTCCAAACAACCTAATAACTTGGGATTCTTTCAGTAAAGCTAGTGGATTATATGGTTTTGTAACATTATGGTATTGCTTTGTTTTAACGAATAGAGTTGAACTTTGAAACAGAAATTTTATTTGAAAACGAGGAATTATAACAAAAACTAACAACATTTCGAAAACAAAAAATAACAAAAAATAACAGCATTCTTCAAAAAGAGTCATCTGAATCCTTTAAAAGTTTATACAATTTCGATTTTTTAAAACATTCATTACAGGACGTTTGGACGTTTCCATTGATATAACATGGTGGAGTAGTTTCAGAATTTTCCAGGATTTCCCCAGTTTTTTGACATCTCGATTCCTCTAACTCATCAGAAAAATCCTCTCCAGAAAATGAAGTTCTTCTGGAAAAATCGGTGACGTTGGTTGAGGATTCTGGAGTTCCAAAACTTGATGTTCTTGAAGTAAATTTCTGGAATTTTTTCGATTTTTTAAATTTAAAAATTTCGAAATTCTACCTCAAGATGTGCCATTTGACTGAAACGAAGTTTATTTTCCGTATCTTCAAATCGTCTTCTTTTGAACCAACGGAGCAACTGAAAAAAGATAAGACATCGGGACACACAGATCGACAGAGATATTTTACCCAAGGAAAAGTACCGTAAAACCTCTAATAGAACGACACCCGGATCTTAGCGTATTATATATTCATTAGAAACAGTAAAAATTAACCAGTTTATTTTTTGAGTTTGGTATTCCTGGAAAAAAAACCCTTGATAAACAGTAAAAAAATTATATTTTTC